TTGTCGGCTTAGGGACCTAATAGATCCAACTAAGAAAACAAATACCATGTAATGTCTGTGAGGTTGATTGCGTAGATCAGACAAGTAGGTCGGGGGCAACTAGATTATTGGAACGTAAAAATCCAGCCAGACCTAGAAAATTTGACCCTGCTAAGTTAAACAACCTAGGAAAAATCCCAGCCATTGCACTGCATTCACTTGCATGTAACCACAAAATAGGGTGGGACAGTGTGAGAGTACTAGAAAGTAATATAGTTAGGTGGAGGGAGAGGTTAATTACCTCAGCTTTGCTCGTCGATTCAACACCTCACGCGTGCAATCGGAACGATGCAAGCCTACTCCGGAGATATGGTAAGTGCCAACACATAACGAAAGGAAGTTGGAGAAACAGAAAGAGAAAACACATATAAGACAAATTGTGGAAACGTGTGACTAAATTGGTGTGATTATGAGCAATAATTTATGCTCAAGACGTCATCCAGTTGTTAATACTGCATCACTGTGTCATATCTAAAATAAACTTTTGTAACAGGCAATTACATTACCACAATGTCCGAATTCTACATTTATTTTTTTCACCAAATTCGTCGAAATGTTTCATGCTATTTTCCTATGTCGAGATATGCAGTTATGTGAGGGAATTCTATGAAAGCGTTAGCTCAATGTAATGCATCCAGTAGGCTTTCTTTATCCTTAATGTCTCTTTGTTCACAGTGCGCTTTCATCAGCAGACAAAGGAACTGATTGTCAAGGGTGAAATAAAAGGCTGTCAAATGAATCCAAGCATTTCTTGGATCATCCACATTATTGACATGATAATCCCGCTAAGCTTAAAGCTATCATGTAGAGACTAATTTGTGAGAATTAACTATTATTATAACTTTTATTCACATACCGAGGCTACAAATTATGATTTCATATATGCATCAGTATATTTCGTCACTTGAAATACCTCAGTGCTCCCTCCATGCAGAATTCCTACCAGATGTACAGTTTGAATTATCAGCTCTGTGACCATTATTATGATTAATTTGGCAGTTCAACTGTTTTTAGAAAATTACGCATGTTCTGCTAAACCCATTACTATACTATAAAGCCGATTGTGATGACGAGTTCGAAAGCTGGATCTGCATATGACTAGCAGTCAGAGAATCACAGGCAATTCCACAACAGCATACGACCGAAAATCTGAACATAAATACACTAACGGTAGGGCACTATTTAACTCCTTTGCATAACCCAAGAGGAGTTGCTCATTTAAGGTAAGTGAACACCCCCCTCCTAATGGTTGCGATCAAGATAAAACAGCTTGTGGAGAGACTTCCTGCACTGGAATCCCTCAGAAGCGCAGAACTGTAGAAAGATGCGAAGTAATGACAGCTAGATAATCATTGCCTCTATACAACATGGTTTTAAATGTGACGGATGTCGGAAGTAACTCATTCTACAATCCTGCCAAGATAGGCTGGGATGATTTCGATGAAAGAATGTCATAAAGATTTATCACTTAAAGTGAAAGGAATCAACAATTGAGACAAAACACCAATGATTTAATTTAGTTTGTTTTTATTAGTTTGTTTTTATCTGTCGAACTACATTACAAAAAGCGGACAAATAAAACTCCTTTCAGTAATCGCAATGAGTTTGTCATTCTACTCTCAGGATGATATACGTAGGCCTTTGGATAGTGTGAACATTTCTGTTTCAGTTAATAGATCTAGCCAAGTGTTTCGGGACATTTCACCACTTTCGAATAGATTTTCCAAATTTTTAAAAGAGCATTGCAAAGAAGATGAAAGCAATAAAGTTGAGCCTTGGTTCAAAACTAATGAATCTCTTTATAACAAAGTAACAATAAATAAATTTCGAATTTGTAGAAAATTATTGTTCCCAAAACGTCTTTCAGTGATTCAAGTGGTCCAGTAAACACGTCTGTGATGGGTTCCCACGAAGTTCCAAAGCTCAGTAAGGAAACCGGTCTCCTAAAGTAAAAGCTATCGATAAATTAATATTTTCAGAAACCAATTTTTGCTTATACGCAATAGTTTAAAATTGCTGAAGTCTCAGGTAACAAATAATATCTCTTTATTTCTTCTTTAAGGTTGACATCTTTATGAAAATAAGAAATACAGAAACTTTGAGTAAGTTAAATATGTAAACAGATACCACCTCTTTCGACTGTTTATTTTGTCTTCCAAATTTTTCAAATTCACGTGAACAATTAATCCCTTAATTCACTATTTTCAGAGAAATATTGTAAACAGTCTTCTGTGAATTTCATCTTAGTCCTCTGCAGTGTGCTGAGTCGGTAACACACATTGATGTATCATGCAAAAAGCTCAGTGATAATGTGGAATAATAAAACTACGTAGCATTCGATTTATTTATCTCATGTCTTAAAAATGGTCTACTTTTATTAGAAGTACACTAAATAAGTTTTTGTAGAAATTCAATAGCGGTAATTTATGAAATAGTGCCTTCTGATTGTTCGATAGTAAACCCTGTTTTGCAGCAAATAAGTCCAACTCAAAGAAATATACACTCACCCTTTTTAAATTACTTAATATCTCCAGTTTTGTAAACAATATAAATATGTAATACATAGACATGACACAGTAGTGCCTAGGCGTAATTAAACAACTATAGATTCGTCTAAATTCATGACTGTTCAGGTATTTTTTAACAGTAGTAGTTTAGGAATATAATATTAAGGCGCATATTCATATTAAGATTTAGCCCATTTCTTTTGTGCTTTATACACACAATTTCTACAGTCCCTCAGATCCCATGAATCAGGTAATCATAAATTGGACAATAAGGTTTCTGAACATATATCTGTTTTAGCGATTTTTATTTGTACGTGTAGTTCTTCAACATTGATGTTTATAAGCCAAGTTAGTCAGGATTTTCTTTAAAATTTTGTCCGACTCTGAGCTCTGTCACTTTACGAGATGCCGATGACATTTGGTTAAAGAGCTAGGTATGCCCTAGATTTCTCAAATGATTTATGTTTAATATCACACAAACTCGAATATCTACAGGCAAAAACCAACCAACGGGTTGAAAAAGCAGCGAAAACAGGACTCCGGGTAAACATAGAAAAGACTGAGGTGATGAAGATAAATAACCAACAGCAGCAACAACCCGCATCAGTCACCATCAACAGGAGAGATTTAACAGAGTTTGCCTCCTTTACTTATCTGTCCAGGAAGTATCGTTTCATCTACAGGCGGAACGGACGAAGATGTTAAAGTCAGAATAGGAAAGGCAAGATACGCCTTCATCAATCTGAAACCTGTTTGGAAATCTTTCGCACTCAGCATAAGGAACAAGATTCACATTTTCAACACCGATGTCAAGTCGATCCTTCTATACTGGTCAGAAGCTTGCACTGCGTGTCACGAAAAGCATTTCTGACAAGTTACGGACTTGACATAGGTTACTTCCTTCACTTATCTGGAAAGCACTGTTTCACCCACAGGCGCAACGGATGAAGATGTAGAAGCCAGAACCGGGAAGACAAAATACGTTTCCATCAATTTGAAATCAGTTTAAAAATTTTCTGCTTCACTCAGCATAAAGAGCAAGATTTGGATTTTCAGCATCATTGTTAAGTCGGTCAATTCTTCTATGTGGGTCAGAAACTTGGTACACACGAAAAGCAGACTTTCACTAGCAGCTGCCTTAGCTGGCTCCATACTGAAGATCAAATGGCCAGGAAGGATTAGCAACAAGAAACTCGCAACAAACCAACCAAAAGCCGATTGCTCAAAAAATTTACAGAAGAATATGGAGTTGGATTGGACTCACGTTGTGAAGACCGTCGTATGGCATCGCGCACTAAGCATTACCTTGAGTGGAATCCATATGGTAAAAGACGTGTGGGTAGTCTGAGGGTGACATGAAGGAGATCATGAAAGGAGGGGATGAGAGATTGTTGGAAATCGTGGGCCCAGCTGAAGAGGAGAACAGAAAATAGAAGAAAGTGGATACGTGTTGTTGAAGCCTTATGTTCCACTTAGAACCCAAGGGAACAATAGTAATAATGCCCTAGATTCCACTGCTATTCAGTATCAGGCTAATAAAACTAACTTGTTTTACCTATATCCTGATTGTCACAAATAAATCTAGAGAAACTGATACAGTGCTATTAAACATATCAGTGGACGTACAACTAATCGCATGGTAATAATAAAATATTCAACTGTAGATACTGTTTTGTGTGACATTCTTCATTCCTTATTCTGTTTTCAATTATCATAAAATGTATACAGTTAATAGTAAAGTTTTCAACCACAAATACTTCTTTATTGTCGCCCAGTATACAAATGTAGAAATCGCAAGTCATTTTCGTAACGCCTAGGTACGGACAAAGGTTATCTGGGAAACCAATGTAGTGTTTTAGTTATCATTACCTGAAAATGTGAATAACAATAAGATAAAGCACACTGTTTCGTGTAAAACAATTCATTGAATTGTCTTACACAAAATTATATACCAAATGCTGAAGTATATTGTGTCATGTGGAGTAGGATTAGGTTGGTGAAAGTAAAATTCCATGAATCGTCTGTAAGCTGGTTCTAGATTTTAATGAACGTGTTTTATTCAAAAAGGCGGATAGAACTGAATTGGGCAGTAAGATGCTCAAAATTAATGCGGTTGCTGAGAATTAATTTATGAGTTCTGTTCTCAAAACTCATCTGCAGACACTCAGTTTATCTATATTCTGAAGGTTCATCGCATTATATTTTACAAATTTAATATATGCTTCCCTTCCGCTTGCCTATTTCCATCTTCATATGGTATTAAAAAGTATATCAATGTGAACCCTTAAATAGAAATATTAAGTCGTCTTTCCTCCATATACATATAAATGCATATATCTACTTAATCAGTTAGTATGCAGTGCTAAATTTACTACAATTTATATAATGTTTGGAACTAAAAGTACTCGATTGATGGAGTAAATGTACCTCATTTATGATTTTTTAAATAAAGGAATGGAAGAACAAGGGCAAGAAACAATAAGAAATGAGCTGAAATTTTTATTAGACTGGCTGGAGCCCAAAATACCAGAACACAGGGTGCAAAAACAAGATCCTATTTCTCGTGAATCTCCCATGGTCATGGGTGAAGCAAATAAATCCTATGAGGTGAGTTTAATGTGTGTTAGTTTATTGCATGATTTCAGTTGGTTCTAATTTAGCACTTGTCGTATTGAAACTGAAAGGTTTTTTGTCTGAAGACAGAAAAAACCTAGTTGGTGATTTAAGAATATAACTTGTACACTATGGTAGAGTATAATCTCATCATGGGTGAAATTTATTTCAACAAAGTCTCACAGTGTTATACAGTAATATCGAGAACTTGATATGATTATGAGCAATAAATTGTGCTCGAAACGTCCTCAGTAAATATTACTGTATAACACTGCGAGACTTTATCAAAATAAATTTTATCCATAATGGAACTAGTCGGTAATTAGTAGTGATGATATGTGAAAGAAAACAGTGACTAAAACGTCGTTGTACTGACACCAGATAATTTATAAAAAGGCTTTGTGAAGCCCATTAAGGAGTTTTGTACAGATTTTTCTTGAAAGTGTTTACTAAAATCCTGTGGTAGCAAAGATATTACTTCGAATTTAGTCATGATCATTTTGCGCCTATCTGTTTAATTACAGTATTTTGGGCAAACTCCGGAACTAAACCAACTAGCTCAGAGAACACTATTAATTGCAAATCATCCACCTGAGCTACAAATCTTCTCTATTATTTCAAAACTCATAGACTATTTGAAGTTGTTCAGACTAACTTTGTAGTTACTATACATCCACTATGACTTGGTTTTTCGGTAATGGAAAACCAATCTAGACACATTATCAAACAGTAATCAAAGATGAACTACAGCATCTAGAAGGGAAAGGAATAATCGCAACAGTATTGTGTCCTTCATGAAGTTATCCCGTTTTCTTCACAAAGACCGAGTAGACCCACTTGAATATATACCAATTTTCAGTTAAGTTCAATGTCTTTTATAGTGTACTGATCAGGAAAAACGAGGTAGAGAAACTTGATTTAGAAAATATTGTTTTCACTATAATTCTCTTTCATTTACCACCCAGATCATATCTGAAATTTTGTAATAAATAATGGAAACAGTAACCACAGTTACTGTTTAAAGTAAAGATTTCATAAAAACAGATAAATACATATATTTTTACAGAATATGTTACTGTGGTCTCTGTCCACAAGAACGTACGTGCAAGTTATCCTCATAGGTAGTGAAACACAAGTTTGAATCTAGATACGCCCGGTATGTAAATAAGTTGTGGAAGAGTAAGTATAATACCAACAAAACCACTGCTTTATTTTCTCAAAAGGACTGATAATTTATTGTGATACTTACCTGCTGACATTACACTGTAGTCAGGTGTCAATAAATCCCATTCTCACCTCTATTTACAGAGAAAATTAGCTCTTGGTCGACGGTTCTTACTCACCAATTCAAAAATGCAATCATATGAACAAAATCAGTTTTGAAATTCAAATCACACTAGTGACGGGTTTCCTATACCTGTTGTAGCCATAACTAATGCGTTCACTAATGAAAAAGGGGCTGTTATTCTTCAGGTCTTTTCAAATGAGCTCCAAAAGACAGGTTATTATGCACTGCACATTAACAGTCGTGGAGAAAATATGTTTTCACAAGGAAACGACTTACTGGGGTTAGGGTCTTCTGTCAACAGATTCTTTGAAATGTTGTTCGTCCTGATAGTATTTCTATGAACAGACTATAAATCGATGCTAGCTTCTTTGACATTTAAATTAAGATTGTAATGACAGGTGGTAAGCTTGCTGGATCTTCATTTTAAACGTCACACATAAGATTTTAGATGCGAAGTTTCCGCATGTGCAAATATCCAAATCTTTTAATCATGACACTGTCACAAAGTATGTATCTATATAAAATCATGCTATTGAGCTATTGATGTTCACTATTGCTGATGCGCCTACCCCAGCAGATCCAGTTTAACAGGAAACACAAAATATGATCTCAAAGAAGAAAAGTTTACGTTCAAAAATCATAACAGCCTACTGTTCTTAGTGTGGGACTCAAATAGTTATCTGTCATATCTAATCATTATATACTATTAATAAATATATTGTCTGTTTCAAAGCATTTTATGCCCATTGAACAGATACATAACATGGAAATGTCATCAATAGATTTTCCTAACGATAAGTTATTGATTAAAAAATGATAGATATTTGTATAAGATTACGCAATGCCACGGACTACCTGAGAGCCTGATAAGATGATAACTGCGAATATCCCTTCCATAAAATTTAAGCTATTTTCAGCACTTTTAACAATTTGAAAAAATTTGGGCATTGGGTATATGATATTCATTATAATAAGGTTTTTTGTATTTCCCAATGAATGAAAAACAAAACGATATTGTTTTTCATTCATTGGGAAATAAAAAAACCTTTATTATAATGAATATTTTCAGCACCTTCACAGCACCTGTGAAAAGTATTACTATAAAGGCTGTTCACCAAAATAGTTGATGGTTATGTGCCGACAAATATATAAACACTAGGCTTAATTTTAAATATCTCTGTGAAACAACCGCGAAATAAAAATGTTAGAATATAATTACAGGAATACTTTTTGATGAATTTGCCAGTATGTGAGGATTTTAAGTCAATTACTGGGGATATAGTTTATCGAGAAATATTTACAAGATAAAAGAACATACCCCATTTTACTGCGTTCCCTGACTCCTCTGTGAACGATTCATTCAGTTTAGTAAAAGGATCTTGTACCATGATAAAGTCCAGTGAATCATCGTAGAAACTAAAACAAAATATTTTTGTTCTGTCTGGTTTCAACATAGAACTCTGCACCGATTTGCAGCAGTTCGAGTCGCCAAACTTCACTCAGCACACAGTATTTTTTATGATTTTTCACTAGTGAGATTTATCGTAACATGCTAAGTTAGGTTGTTTAATAGTGTTTAAAACAAGCAATAAAGGTTAGTAAGACATGATTTAATTAATTCATCAAATTCCGGTAGAACATTTCATCCGAATATTCTAAATATAGGTATATATATATATATATATATATTAGAGTGGAGTAGAGCCATAGATCAGGATGTAACTGAAAAGTAAATATTTCTTCGCTTAATTCTTTTGTCATCCAAGTGACTGAAGTGTTGCTAAAATCTATTGTGATTTTTAAAGGTAGTGATTTAGTAAGCATGCATTCAGTGTCTCTCAGTTTATATCCCTATATTTACAAAAACCTGACATTGTGTCTGGTGCTTCACTGTCTTCATATAACGATAACTCATTTAAAACCACTGCGACCCCTAGATTCTGTCACTTCTTAATTACTTATTTCGTTTGAAGATATTTAGACTTCATATAAATTTTTTAATTTCAAAAGCCAATAAAAGCTAATAAAAGTGTAATAATATGAAATTTATCTGCCACTATTTAACCGAGATATAATGGCTAGCAAACTAACACTGTGATTTATTTTTCATTATTTTCAGGCACCATACAACATTACTGACTTGAAACAAGACGTAATTAAGTTGTCGGACTCAATGCAGGAAGAGTCTTCTTTGACTATAAACCATTTCAATGAAGCGAATAACTTACAAGCATTTATGAGGAAAATGGAGAATGAATTGGATCACTTAACAGACCAGCTCAAAGTTTTAGAAGAAAGGTGAGTTCTACACTTAGTCTCAACTTTGATGATAATGATAGTGTAACGCAGACCTTTCTGATCAGTGATGAGAATCATCAAATCTTTCCCACTGAGTAACCATGAGTCGGTTTTGTAGTGATAAGATGCAGCAACAAAAATTGGTACTCACCAATTTCAATCATTTTTCCAAAGTCTAATTTCTAGTAATGCGATTTGAGTGTTAAACTGATATGTTACATATGAAAATATGTTCATTTTTACCTATGGAGAAAGCAAATCGCACAATTCATTTCACTGTTTAGTAGTGAGTGATATATAGGCGAAGAAAAGTTTGACGTTCTAAGTAAATGCTACAAAACCCTGAATGTACAGTTGATCGAGGAATGAATTTTTAATTTTACATAGAAGTGCAATAGTTCAAGTTGCTATACTTCATCAAACTGTTAAAAACAAAGAAACACAGATTTAATAATAATAAAACCGACAACTGTCAGTACGATAAGGAGAGTATGTGAATGAAGACTAGTGACGTTTTCAAGACTGGATGAAAAACACACGTGAGCCATGGTTAACGATTTTTAGCCACATCGCCCCTTAAGTTTTCCCGTTAGACTGACTCCTATCTAAGTATTAGGGATTTGAAGGCGACGTTTTTATGAACACTAAGCAGCTAGAGATCAGCTTCGTGACGGATTTCCAAAAGTTATAGTGTTGTGTGAAGTCTTTGAATGACACTGGTTTGCGGTGGCGTTTTATTAAGGATTAATTGGAGTAAAAAAAATAAAATATTGGAAATCATTACAGTGACTGAATGTTGAATTTCTTGCCCTGCAGTATGACGAGGGTTTTGGGATCAATCTCTTCCTGGATCATGAGTGTGCACTTAAGAAAATCCTTGTATAAAAACATAACAACTGAATCACATCTACGTTGAACTCATTCATATCCCCATAAACCAAACAACCAAAAATATTTAGCAGTAACCGAAGTTTCATTGGTAGAATGCTTGTCTATCATGTAGGTGGTTCGGGTTCTATTCCCTGCTGAGGCAGTGCTAAACTTCATCTAGTTCACAACCCATAGTAATCCCGGGAAAGAGGGAAAGTTGGGCGTGAGGCTGACAACTTCCTCTTTTTAAAAACAACAACATCGCTAACGAAGCCTCAAGCTTAAAGCCCTACGTTACTCTTGGAATGAAAAAGAAAGTTTACAAACAGTAGACTACCGTCAGTTCCACTGATGAATTTCGATCTAAACCTAGTTGTTGTGACCTCTGAATTGTTTTATTACTTTGATATATCCGACTGAATTTATTTGATGGATACGAGTTAACTTACCGAACACACATGCTGAGATTCCGCTCACTTGATAACTCCCCACAAAGTCTCTGTTACGTACATAGGCTCATAGTGAACTCGAGTCAAAATACAAGGAAATGTTTCCCCAATACAGATAGTCTTTTTTGCAGTTAATAAATTGCTATTTATTTAGAAAATTCCAGAATAGGCTATTTAAGTTTATAAATTGTTTAACAGATGACAAATCGTCTGTCAAGGATAATGGAAAAGTTGTTACGTAGCCAATGAATTAGTACTAATCAGTATGCAGTCGCATTTCTGGTAACTAGGAAAAAGTTCACCAAAAACTTCACCTTCATCTTGTGAAACAAACTCGTGTAAATAATCACCAAATGGCTGTATGCAGCAAGCTAGTTGCTACCAGAAAATGACCTCAACACACTTATTATGATTGATTTCGACCTATTGGCTTTTACTCTTATTCCATAGCTTCTGAAAATGAAAACCATTTCTAAATGAATACTACTGAAAGATTCATGTCTGATGCACTTTTTCGCTAGATACTATGCCATTAAATCTGTCTACATACATCCTGTTGTGTTGTTAACATCAACAGCTTGCAAATGAAGCTGAAACCATAATACCATGCACAGTTTTACTTGTTGATTTCTTCCAGATTTCAGATTTATTTCTTAACAGAAGTGCATCACTTATTTAATTTCATTCAAAGCATACACACACATTTTCTCATTTTTGTGCTGAAATTATAATTTTCTAGAATGGTGATAATATCCTAAGAATATTAGTTGAACACACTTTAACCACTCCTCCATTATGTAATTTAGGATAGAAGCTTTCGAACAGTTGAACTGGTCAGAATTACTGAACAACTTTCGTATAAAAGTTCAAGAGCAGACGGTAAAACTATGCATGTAAGTATAGTTAAATTCACTCAGATGATAATTCATTTGGTAGGTCGTACATTGTCAGAGAATTGGACAAGGATATTTTTGAAGCATAGTATCGAAGAAGGTCAAAGAACAAAGAGTTTCCACAATGTATGTTGTATTTTCCAATGAGTGTCGCAGAATAAAAGAATGATTGCTTTTAAAAAAGAGTACATTTATCAAAGGTGAATACGCATTTTCATACTTTGACTCAATTCTATGGAGCTAAAAACTTTTTAAATATACATATGTAAAGTTTATAAAACCGTGTTGTGAATAAATTTAGGTATTTTCTTCTGAACCAAAAAACAAAAGGATAAATGTCGAACAGTATTATCGGAGACAAGCCTTATGAATTGAAAATGCATACTTATTGGCATTATATTGTTGTGACACACAGCAATTCAAAACACTTGAGAAATGAGAAATTTGAATAGTTACCCTGAGTGAATAATTATACCTAAATTGTGATAATGCAAGATCTTGTTCAGATAACATGTCCTATAACATGTTCTAAATCTGGACAACACAAATATCTATCATTCTCTAGAAACTTGAAGTATTATGTATTTGATGTTTCTTGGGGAACTTATACAAGACCCAAGCGACGTTGCTGGCCTAACCTCAACTGACTAACGTCGTCAGTTCAACCTACAGGTATTAGTTCGCAAAAACCTAATGATGTATAAATAGTTTTGAGAGCTACCGAAGAAAACTCACTACTGGATTACCTTTCAATGGACAGTTGTATGTGTGCCGTCAGGCGGAATAAGTACTGATAGTGGTGATGATAGATGCCTTTTCATATTATCCGCTTAAACATCAACTGACTGCATTAGGACGGAAAAAGCATGAATCCTATCAAAAGCTGTTTATTTCGCTGCAAAAATCACAAGCTCAGATACATTCATTTTGGCATTTTAAAAACCACTGGTTGTATCTTTGTTGTCACATCCTGACGAAATGAAAACAGTGACCATCTTTTATCTATTCAGATGAAAACCTGTTCGTGATCAGTGCTAATTTCCAAATAATGAGAGGTATTACCTCACCTGCTGACTTCTAAAATAAAGATGGTAAAGGATGAAAAAAGACTACTTAGATGCAAAATATTGGTGAACTGAGCCAATGGAAGATAGTTACTCTACCTAGAATTCCTGCACGGCTCAGATAACGCATTAGTATGTGTTTGCACATGCCAGAGACTAAACACATGTAGAATACAAGTCATTTCATGTTCAGCATTTTAGTGAGAACATGGGACCTACATATAGGGAATATAATAACAATACTTATTCTGAGGAGGCCTAGCATCATATTTGGTCTGTACTCTGGAAAAAACAATGAAGACAATTGATAGTATTCAGCCAAAGTTAATAAATAACAATGGATTTCCGCTGTTTCACTCAAACTAGTCACAGCAAAGAAACTAATTCCAGTGAGCTCCGGAAATTTCAAGTAGAAGTCGCCTGAACGAAAGTCTTCATGATGACGCTGTTTATTTATTTATTTATTTAAACGCATTAAAACTTGGTACAATATGGCACCAAGAAGGATGCGCCACACAATAATAATAAAACAACATAGATGAAAAAAAGGAAAGAAGGCAGGAAAAGAAAAAATATATATAAGTAGAGAACGAATAAAGAACTTCATCTGGAAGGAAAACACTCATTCTTAACAGGTTCAAACAGTGTTCGTTAACTATCATCGGGAATGGAAGAAAGAAGGAAATCGCAACACATTCGCCATTGATTACGATTCTTGGCCATATCCGATAACGTTTCGAGCCATCGATTTGAGCTGTCTCTCAGACTCCAACCAGGGAGTCGTGACACACCAACCGATGCTAATATCTAGCACAGAAATCCTTCATCCCACGACGCCACGTCATGGGCTGACCACCTCTCCGCCTTTTCCATCCCGTCCCAGGGCTAGCGAACAGAGACCTGTACGGAAGCCTCTGGGGTGACATTCGCAGCACATGTCCAAGCCACCGGAGCCGGTGTTTCCAGATGACGACATTCAATGAATGGTGATTTCCACTGTGTTCAAACACACGCCGCCGAACCTCAGAATTACTCACGCGATGATGCCATCGAACGCAGGCAATCCTGCGGAGACAGCGGTGATCGAACACGCAGAGTCGCCTCACATCTTCAGCTCGGAGAGGCCAGGTTTCACAGGCGTAGGGCAGCGCAGCCCGCACCGAAGCATTGTATACCCGACCTTTGACAGCCAGGCTAACGTCGCGACGGCGCCAGAGGTGGCTCAAGTTGATGTATGCCACCCTAGCTTTCATTATACGGTTGGAAATCTCATCCGTCACCCCTCCTCCAGCACTCACACAACTACCTAGGTACACAAACTTATCGACAACTTCAAGCGGTTCACCCGCAAGAGTGAGTGCAGGTACAGGCTCCCACCAATCTTGTAACAGTACTTTGCACTTAGACGGTGCAAAGCACATAGCATACTTACAGACACTGATCGCCAACTGATTAAGTGCGATTTGGGCAGCCTGCATGCTATCGCACAGTAAGACGATATCCTCTGCATACTCGAGGTCGAAAAGTCTATCTCCAGGTAGCAGATCTACACCACCTTCACGCACATCCTTCAGAGCTGACTCCAGAATGTCATCGATGGCAAAGTTAAAGAGAAATGGAGAGATCGGGCAACCCTGTCTAACCCCACTGTTGGTTGGGAACAGTGATGATAGTTGGTTGTATGTCCTCACTCTACCTGAGGTGTTTCTGTATAGGGCTTTCAAGATGTTAACAAATTTCTCAGGTACACCTCTCTCTAACAGACAGTTCCAGAGCACAGTTCTGTCCAACGAATCGAAGGCAGTCCTAATATCAAGAAACACAACGATCGTTGGCCTGCAATACGTGTGGCGGTGTTCTAACAACTGACGAAGGGTGAACACATGATCAATGCATCCACGACCTGAACGAAACCCAGCCTGCTCTTCGCGAATCAATCCTTCACGTATTTTGCACAGCCTGTGAAGCAAGACAGCAGCCAATAATTTAGACGCGACTGGTAACAGACCGATACTCCTATGGCTGTCACACGAATTACGTCGACCCTTTTTAAAGATGGGGACGATAATGGCTTCGTTCCACATTGATGGTACACTCTCTGTCTCCCACACCCTCCTGAACAACCCAGTTAGAGCCATTATGAGAGTCTCGCCACCATCTTTAAAAAGAGCCGGGGGTAATTTAACTGGGCCGGGCGCCTTATGGCGTTTCAGAACTTGGAGTTCCTTACGGACCTCCGCTTCGGTGGGTGGATCGGTACTAACCGACCAAGGAGCACTCGGGCTAATGATAGTAGACAATGAAGCTGGTGGCCAGCTGAACTGCTTCCCGAAGTGCTCTGCCCAGCGTTCCAGGCGTCTCTTCAGGCTGGTAATTGGAGTGCCATCTGCCTCACAGACCGTCTCGCTGACACCTTATTTCTTGCTGCCGGTGGCTCGTATGAGTTGGAACAGCTTCCGACTGTTGCCAGATGCAGCAGCTGACTCCATCTCATACGCACGTTCTGACCACCAGGCTTCGCGGTCCTTACGTAAACACTGTCTAATCTTGCGCGTGAGCGCCTTTCGCTGATTGTTGTATTCACTGCCAGCCGGAATGGACCGGCGTTCATCCATGAGTTGCAAGGAACTCGCAGAAACCCAGTGGTTGTTAGCGGAGCATTCTTTCAAGCCGCAAGCGGCTACACTCGCCTTTTGCATGGCACCTTGCACATGAAGCCAGTGTTCATCTATACTACTTGGGGGGTTGCTGGCAAGCATTGTTTTCAACTCATTCTGATATTTCAAAGAAGTACCAGGTGCTACTAGTTTGCTCACATCAACGCTTAGACGACGGTTTTTACGAACCCCACCAAATCGCAAGACGAACTTGGCACACACTAACGCATGATCGGAGTCCAGGCATGTGCTCCAGAAGGAGCGACAGTCTTGTATGCATCCTCGCCACCGGAAACTGACCGCAATATGATCAATCTGAGTCCAAGCTTGGTTCGCAGAGGGAGGACGCCAGGTAGCGCTACGGCGATGGCTGTGCCGGAAGTTGGTACTGGCTAGAAATAGGTTGTGATCCGCGCAAAGCTGCAGAAGACGGTCCCCATTATCTGACCTGCGACCATGTAGTCCCCACTGACCACCTAGACGACTCTCCTCTGAGCTTAGACGCCCGACCTGTGCATTCAAGTCCCCAGCTAGCACTACGATATCCCTCCGACCCGCCTGTTTCAACAGATCGCTCAGTTGGTAGTAAAACTCATCCTTCATTGCACCCGGGCTGCAATCCGTCGGTGCATAGGCAGAGACAACAAATAGACACCGCCTATCTGGCCTACTACTCCTTACTTTCGTATATCCTTCCAGCCTCACAGCACATTAACGACTGTTAATGGGAATCCAGTCGAGCAGTGCAGCTTCGGCTCTAGCGCTCAGTGCGACACCGACACCAGCTACGCCGGATGCCGATGCCACAGGGTCCCCGGATAAGCGCAGGTGGTACATACTACTAGAACTTCCAGATGGAGAGGTTAGTCGAAGCACTTCACTGGGATCTTGAATGCGGGTCTCCGAAATGCAGCAGACATCGATAGCGAGGCTTTCCAAAGTTCTTGCCAACCCTGCCTGTTGTCCGATTTGCATCAGCATCCGAACATTGTAGGTAGCCAGCTTGAACGCAGCACGCGGTTTCAGGATATCTGTGTTAGAAGTCACATTGGGAACAACCATTTTGAGGACTACTCACTAACATCTCGAAACGACTCGGATAGGCTGGGAATCTCGACAAAGGCGAAAGGCTGTCAAAGGTTAAGAAGCCAAGGTTAGCAAAGGTAAAATACAGGAAACTATGTGTAAAAATAAAAGTAAGATAGGAAGGAAATAAGTTGCTTGAGGGATCAATATTGCTTGGAATCATTTTTACTAGCGCGCGTTGAGTTTCAGTGAGAGTTCGTTGCTTCAATTCATTCATTGTGTGCGGGCTGAGATACTGCTCGGGCGCCCAGACCGAAGCAGGTGGTTTTATTAAGGGACCAC